CAGTTGTCTTCACTGATTGTCATCCCAATATCAGTGTTCGTGTGTTATTTCCTTATATATCTTCATGGAATCAATGCCCTTCTCCTGCTGTGACGAGCACCATGAGTAACGTGATACTTGTGTTTCTTCATTTCTTCTCAACTCATGTTCATCGTTATCCTCCATAGCACCACGCATCCGTTCTTATCGCTCGGTGACACCATGAAATAGTGCTCCTTTCCCAACGCCTGTGTCGCTCCTTGGGACCAGTCCTCTACTGTTGCTGCCATGAGCGCTGTAATCTCTATCTAACACTGCTCGAAAGATCTTATCTGCCATTATAACCTCCAATCACCGAGCAATCATAATCCTGTCTTGCTCCCTTCATCATAGAACTGTTACTTGTTCGTGCTGCTCAAGCACTATGGACAAGGGAGCAAGTGATGCTGGTTGTGAAGGAAGGAGCACAAAAAACCAAAATGCCACTCATATAATCGCATGGGTGCTGACCTCGTGCGTGCATAAGGCGAACAAAACACGTGGTCGGGAAAGTTCGTACTCGTTGGCAAACCTTTGAGAGAAAAGTCTGCCGTGTTGGGAAGAAATTTTTCCCAGTTGTCGACTCCGTGATATTCGCTGTTTCTTGTGTACTATATAGCCCCCTCGGCGAAAAACTTTTGGGTGAAAAAACTGGGAATACGGGAAATTAGTGGGTAGGCCTTGGAGAAAGGGGGGGGGGTGGTCTTACCAAGACCCTCATTTAGTTGGGGGGGGGGTCGTACTGACGCCCTCTCCGAGAGGGGTGGGGGGGTCGTAATCACACTACCACTTCACACATCATTATGCTGTACCATGTTCGCAGCGCCGATGCGAAGTGAGATCGACCTCTCCCAAGACACACAACGCCTCAATACCCGTTTGTTGCAGGAATGGGAAGGGAACGATTTTTATGTAACCATTGCAGAGGAATTTCCTTTTCACCCAACATTTATGAGATGTATTCTGAAACCCTGAATCTGAAACCACCTATCAGTGTAGCAGCTGTATTGCGAGAATTCAGATACAATGACATCATCTGCATCGATTCGACACGTGTGGTTCTGAAGGATAGACCGTCAGATGATGACTATATTCACGCGAGTTGGATGACGATGCCAGACCAATTTAAATACATATGTACGCAGGTAGAGAAAGAAACTTTGCCACTTGAGTAACTAATGTCTTCACATTGTGACCAATTTAAATATATATGCCCGCAGGTACAGAAAGAAACTTCATCAATTCAGTAACAAACGTCTGCACATCAACTTGAAGACACAATGCACGCTCAGCTGCGAGTGCATCCTTTGCATGTCCGGAGATAACGAGCTCCCTAATGTCTAAGCGTTGTTTCCCCGTCCCAACATGCTCAGGGATGGGGATCTAGGGCCTTGGAATAAGCTAATTCGTCCACACCCCGCCTAAAAAGGAGTTTCCGGAGCAGACACGCTGCACGCTGCTACCATGTCCCGATCGCATCGAAATGTGAAGATTCACACGGCCTCTCATTCTCATTACATTTATTTGCATTTTTAGTTACATTTCATTCATAGTTACATTAGTTGCCCTCAAACTTCGTCATCATCTTGATTGAAATGTGAGCAACTCCCCAACTGTCATTCGCATCAGCTGTTTGCGCTCAAAAGAATTCGAAAGGGCAGGCTGCAAGATTGGCAAAGTGCCAGGAGCGTCGAGGGCAATACGAGTTACGCGAACTGCCGGCATTGTAAATGGGATAGGGATATGGTAACAGCGCGCAGCGTATTTGCGCCACAAGTTGCTGCTGAGGTGGAAGAATTGGCCTACCTAACGGTCCCAGATCCCCAGCATGTTTAGGCGTGGAAACCGCTATGCTTTGACAGAAGGGGGATTAGGTACAGACATGAAATGGATGCACCTCGCAGCTGAGCTTGCGTTGTTGTCTTCGGAGGTGGAAGAAGAAAAGTAATCAACAGAGGACCTGCTGCTTGCCGCCGTACACTTGTACACATACAGTGAAGCTAACAGCCCTTTCGAATTCTATTGAGCGCAAACAGCTGATGCGAATGACAGTTGGGGAGTTGCTCACATTTCAATCAAGATGATGACGAAGTTTGAGGGCAACTAATGTAACTATGAATGAAATGTAACTAAAAATGCAAATAAATGTAATGAGAATGAGAGGCCGTGTGAATCTTCACATTTCGATGCGATCGTAAGTGCTTCTCCTCATTGTAAGTGCTTCTCCTCATGACAGCGATGTGCACATAGTACATCATTTAGTCCGCATTGGGTTGAATCTGCCTGTTCTGAATGTACTAATTTTCACTTCCTACTATGGTATACAGTCCACGTCAAAATAGTGCACATTATGTTGAGGAGTTCAATATGCTGAAATACCTACAGAATTTTGGTTGATTCTTTGATTTTCACTTGTCCATGTAATCTCCTAAATCTGCATCTCATCCGTCAGGATGGTGCGCTGTGATCCACTGTCTCAATCGTCAGTCAAGAAGTTTGAAAAGGGCAAAAGCATTTTTTAAAACACTATTCTAGATGGCCGCTCGTGAAAGCAAAATCCCATACAGTTCGCACTTTTCAAACGAGGCGAAGCGCGAGAAAGTAAAGCAAACCACAGGGGGGG